TGGCTCTGGCTCTTGCTCCTGCGCTGACTTTTGCTCCTGCTCCTGCGGCGTCTCTTGCTCCTTCTCCTACTCTTGCTGTTGCTTTTGCCTTGCTTTTCCTCTTACTCCGGCTCTTGCCCTTTTTGCTCGCTCCTACTCATGCTATTGGTCTTGGTCCTGCTCTTGCTGTTGATAATGCTTTTGTTCTTGCTTCTGCTCGTGCTTCTGCTCTTGCTGTTGCTCCCACTGTTGCTCGTGCTCCTGCTTTTGCTCTTGCTCCCCTTCAGATAGCTCTGGACCCCCTAATGCAGAGGATTGGCTCCAAAGTGTTGTTACTTGGTTATTCGGGCGTGTTTATTCAATGGTAAGCGAGCAATTCAACATGGGCAGCCCCATACTTGAAATCTCTTGAAACACGCTGCGAAAGCACACCACAAACCGCGAAAACAAAGCTTCACAACAACCTGTTGTTCTCCGCAGCCGCAAATGTGCAGCTTCAACATGCTGGGTGGACATGCCAGCGGATGAAGCTGCCCATGATTTGAACTCGGCCACGTGGAGAGTTGCGAAGGGCAAGGACTCAACATAGTCTGTACTTAGGACCTAGGGTTACGGTAGGACTCATAGGCCTCTTGAACTTCGATCTTTAGATTTGCGGCTCCGTCCCTGTGCAGACATTCGCGCACTAAATGCAGTTCTGTATCTACTCACATGTGAATGCATCTGTGTGTGAGAATGTTTTTGTCTGTGTCTCGGTTCAAGAGCCGTCTAGATCCCTAAACCTCAAACCTGGGCCCAAATCAGAATCTTGGCCGACTAACTACTGGAAACTCCAAGACCTGGAGTCTTGAACCCTTTGCTTGCAATACACACATTGGGTGAAAGGAATCTGAGCAGTGTAAGTTGCACAGGCTCCACTTCTCGCTTGCTACCGGAGTGACAACTCTCAAAGTGAAACCAACATCTGGAAATTGTGAACTCACGAGGCAATGGACAGCTTGCTGGAATGTCATCTGCAGTACTTAAGACTTACACAAACGCACAGATGCGCGGAACCGCCGGGAGGCAAATCATCGCCATTCCAACCAGCATGTAGTACACAACGGAGATTTTGACACCTTACAAAACCGCTCGGATCATCTCTGGCTATAGAGGTGCAAGCTAATTGGAACCACGTACGGTTTGACCCACGCCCCCTGACCGAGCTCTCCTCAGGCCCCATGCTCAAAGCAAGATTAAAAGATCAGGTTTAGAAAGGGATGGGACCAAACGCTCGCCATGCTCCAACATGACCCGCAAGGCATAATTAACTCAGATTGACCACGAAGGCCTCCTGGCTAACAGAATTGTTGTCAGCGTTCGGGCTTTAGGAATGAAGGGTTTCGCAGGGGCGCCGTTGCAGCTGTCAACAACGAGGCCGTGCAAGACATTGTACCTAATTACATGTCGCGACTACGATGACAACTGCCATCGGCAGGGTTGGTGGGTGCGGGAGTGGCGGTGGCAGGGTTGGTGGCGGTGGCATCGTCCGCGGCGGTGGTGGTGTAGAGGAAATTCATCTTGCTTTGCCGTGGCTGCGACTGCAACGATCGCTACCGACATACCATGAAACAAACAAGTACACTGAGGATGACGAGGATGCCGTGTCCTCATAGCTACTGTTGCTAGCTGCCAGTACAGTGCTGCCAGCGTATATTGTCAACTAGCATGGCCTGTTTCAAGATCCTCGTGGCCGGGCGGAACCCCAAAGCGCTGGAGACCAAGAGCTGACAATCCACACCCCCTGCACAGATTTGTCAAGCCAAGCACGGCCTTCTCTAGGATAAGATGTCAGAGTATATGCAAGGCTGACAGTCCTGTTAGCGACCTTATGGTCCGGCGTGCAAAGCCAACCGAACACTTTCATGCCCGGAAACGAGTCTTGGCTTGATGTTGACCACTTCAGGGTTCCTTGTCCTCCACTGGTAGTGACCGGAACGGATGGCAGAAAAGTGTTTTGAGGTCCGGAAGCCTGGAACCAAAGTTTCAGACTGTAAACTACGCCGTGCGCGCTTTACAACGAACCTCTCAGGGCATGGCCCATCGTACAGGCTGAGAATGAAAACTCTTGTGGATGAAAACCTCGGAAGTGACTCGCCAATTGGCAGGCTGGGGCTAAGGCCTTGGGCATCAGGCGGTCTGGTCCAAAGCTGGCGACAGCTATGTCAGGTGTACAGTAATTATGTACAGTAGCCATACCAAAAGCCTCCGGCCTGTAAGACTGTTCCTGACTTCGTGGTAGTTGTTGTTGATACCAAACATGAAACAATCAGTCCTAGCTTCAGCGGATCTACATGATGCAGGCTTTCCTGAAAGGGAGGCATTCGGATTGTTGTTCTGAATGCTGGGGCAGTTTGAGAATAGCGTCCTGCAAACCGGTCCTGGCACAGCTTGGTCTTGTCCTACTCGGGATGGTCTATCTTCTGCTTTCCGTTTGAGTTGTGTCTGTCCTCGCTTGCTGGCTGTGTCTGTGTGCGCTTGTCGTGCTTCATTTGATTTTGTGTCCGGTTCATTGCGGGTGTTGTTTGTACTTTTCGTCCTGTTTGTATTCCCTTCCTGCTTGGTGTGTGCTGTGTTTGTGTGTGTGTGTGCCCACATGGGTGCGTGCTTTCAGCATGCGTGAGCACTGTTCGTGCGTGGCATTCGTTTTCTGTCGTTTCTGTCGGCGATGAGGTAAACGTGGTGACATGACTTTGTGTTGGTGTGTGTGATCGCCCAGGATACGCAACAATCCGACAATTTTAACCGTGCGAGGATTCTCAGCATTCAGCAGGCGATTTCAGAAACACCTTCGCCCCTACATTTGGGAACCGTTCCGGACCGTCAGAGAATACAATTACGAACTAATCCTTTGTCTAGGGTAGGGTACGAAGGCTTGGGATCTAGGGGTTGCCTTCAGATTTCGGTCACACTGCCTTCAGGTTTCGGGCTGGATATTAGAAGTCCAGTGTCTTAGCCGACTCTATTCGCGATCATGCGATGTAGACTGGTCAGCACTGAGCGCCTGCGATCACATGTTTGCTGAGGAGCAGACACACGTGCGCCACGGCAAGCACGCAGTGAAAGGCCAAGATATCATCAGCTAGGGCTGCTTGGACCGAAATTCAGGAATCAGATTGAGCTTTGAAGCTGCAGGGCTCAGGCACGCCAGCAATTTGGGATGATTCGAGGCTTTGGCAGTGGGAGCTTTGGGGTCTTCCGGCCTGGGGATCGGGAGTCTCCATCAGGCTCGGGCAGTCATGGCAGTCTAGTACGTGTAGAAGTACACAATCCCTCAAGTATGCGAATGGCAAAGCAACGAATTCTTTGGATTTCGAAACCCCGAACATGTTTGACCTGTATGTTCAAGATTAATGAACCTTCATGTGGTTGATATCGTGAGGAAACCGCTGATCCGCCAGACTCTTCTGTGCCAAGCAGCCAGACGGAGCAGCGTCGAATCACCGGTTCGAAGCGAACTTGCACGGATTTGGGTAGTTCGGTTAGCCATGTTCCAACTCTTAGGATCCTTTTCCATCTCGCCAGATGATCTACAAGTATAACAAGTCCTCACGAGGCGAGCCGAAGAGGGGCTTTGGGGTGTGAAACCCTCCTAGATGTTTTAGGGCTTTCGGAAGGAAACCTTTTGCTAGGCTTGCTGGGCTCCAGATTAAAGTACCACAAACGCTGGAACCCTGGAACCTCAGCCTCCAGGTTCGGAGATCTCTTGTGTGCTCGTGACCGTGTCGGAAGAGCCTTCCGACCCCTGAACCATGTCCAACATCAGCCCCAACCTTAACCCTGACAAAGAGGAGCACCGATCCTCGGACGCAGCAACAGAGGCCCGAACCCCAACTCATCGAAGCTTGAATGGCGCACCCTCTCAAAACTGCACCATACACTTATTACACGTTTTTGAAGTGCGTGCTACTATAATCTGAACGAGAACAGGCAAAGTCCAAGACTTGTCGCGACACTTAGCCATCGATCTTTTTTGTGTAGATAGCTTGGTAGCAGGAGCAACCTTGTACTAGAGTCCTCGTGTTATGTTTGTCTGCGCCTGTTCAAGGCCTTGGTAGCTGTGGCTGGGATTCGGGCTGTCAACACCTGAGCACTTGCGGGTTTGAGGTTTTCCCCCGACTCGCTGGAATGTAACGTCAATAGGGCGCTTGGCCTTCTTGCTTAACCGCAGAATGACAACATCGCAAAAGTGTCTAAACTACACAACTATGTGTATTAGATCAAAACTCGACCACAGATCCGAGAGCCCCAGCGCAGGACATCTCCGAATAACTCTCCACAGCCCCTTGACTCTGTTATTGCCACTCGGCAACGAAGCAATCATACCCTTGAGCCATCTCCCCGAACCAAGGCTTGTGTCAGTGAAGTAGCCTGAACAGCTTTGTCTGAAGTGCTAAATTCCTCTATTCTTGTGATGCTTGTGACACGGTTGGGCCTGGAAGCCGTGTGCCAGGACTCTCAACCTGACAAACCGGACGATTCTTGGTTCGCGGTTCCGACGCGGAGTTCAGGATTGGAGGCTCCCCTCAATAGAGCGAAAGCGGACTCCAGGTTTAGTGGTTTTGTATGGTTCTGTTGCATATCTTAATGCTTCAACAGACGGGCATCCCTCTGGTCCATCCTCAAACGGGTTAGGATATGCAGTGGTTCCCCGAACGGCCTGGCAACTGCATGGCAAAGGCGGGGGATCTTGGCAACCACGATCCCGACGCTTTTTGCGAATTGCAGCAATGAAAGCATATGTTGCAACCCTAGTCGTGCTTCCTGACATTGGCTTCAGTTGCAACAAAGTTGTTTGAACTGAAACATCTGGCTGTACAGGGCTGCGGCCTTTTGAGGCAGCTTCCCGAAACGCAGCTCCAAATCCAAACTGTTCTCTCAGATCAGAGCCTTGATCACCAGAAGCACGTAACACATGTGTTTGGCATTGTAGGGTTATTGCTTCGAGGTTTATGACTCGCGACATTTTCCTATACTCACATTCAGTGGTGGCGGTCGAAGACTTGAAACTTCACTTCCATCGTTTCAGACACTTTCATGATCGCAGCCTGACGGGGAGAAACCATAGAAGGCTTAACAACGGCATATAAGCTACATGGTTGATCGAGAAAAGAAAGGTAGATAGATAGGTAGGTAGATGGGTAAGTAGTTAGGTAGCTGGGTAAATAACTAGCTAGATAGGTAGGTAAACAAACAAATCGGCAGTCATATATGTAGATCCAGGTAGTTAGTTGGGCAGGCAGGCAGGTAAGTAGTTGCTCGTTTTAGTTTCGTCTAATTCGGTTTAGCTAGGTTTAGTGGAGTTTAGTAAATAGAGCTTAGCTACGTTTAGTTTAAATAAGCGCTCGTATTAGTTTAGTTCAGCAAGTAGGTAAGTAAGTTAGCTGGGTGGGCAGGTCGCTCCTTCGGTCCGGTTGGTTGGTTACTTCATTAGGTACTTAGTTAGTTAGTTAGTTAGTTAGCTAGCTAGCTAGCTAGCTAGCTAGCTAGCTAGTTAGTTAGTTAGTTAGTTAGTTAGTTAGTTCAGACAGTCAGCCAGTCAGTCAGTCACTTAGTTTGCTAGTTTGATTGTTTGGTTGGTCAGTAGGCTAGTTGGCTAGCGAGCTAGTTAGCTAGTCAGCTAGATAGTTAAGCAGTCAGTCAGTCACTTAGTCTTGGTTACGGTTAACAAGGTTTAGAGAGGTGTGGCTAACATCAGCAAAGCTTGGCTACATTTAGCTAAGTATTGGTTAAGCTAAGCCAGTAAGTAAGATAGCTAATCGGATAGTTCGGTCGGCTGGTCGGTTGTTTACCTAGTGTGTTTGGTAGTAGCTTAAGTTTTGTTTTGACACCTTTTCCGACTGCCGAAAAAGGTGCTAGTTAGTGGTCTAGGTGAGTACATTAGATGGATGTGTAGACCGATAGGTTGATATCTTCATGGCGTGCTCCAGGCGGGGACTGGAGAGCTTCTCAAGTGTGGAAGAGCGTCATGACCAAAAATCTGTCAATCCCCCTCAACACTCAGAAACAACCTGGGTAGTACAGTCTCGCCTGGTTTCCCAGCTCTCCTTTGAAATTGTGGATGGTCCAGAGAGTCACCAGCTTACCGTCTGCAAAGAGCTCCTCGGTTCAGGGTCGATGGTGGTGAGGGTTCAGCGCCCGGGATTGCAAAGGCCACGACTTTCATATTCGAAGCAGAGTTTGAAGTTTGAGGGTCTGGTGGTTGAGGGGCGATGAACGAAGTTTTGGGATGGAGTCTATGGAGAGTTTCATCTGCACCAGAATCCCTGCCCAGGAGCATACCCTTCATGAATTACTTGGTGGCCTCGGACGATCAGATCCAAGCCCATCTTCTCGACAAACTGGTGTACCACGTCCGCTCCAAAGCAAAAGGACACACCCCGGTCGTTCTCATCCCAACCAGGTTGGTGCTGAGGGTCGGACCACATGAGATCACAAAGCAGACCTTCCTCCGGCACCTTACTGGGACGCTGCAGTTGACGAATACAGTCGAAGTCCCGCAGCTCCTTAGAGAGCCCGCCGCTGACGCAAAAGATCTTCTCTCGGATCAAGGCGCCCACCGGGAGGCAGTTGAAGATCTCTACGAAAGCTTTCCAAAGTCGAACGTTTGCACGCCGTTTGCACTCATCATAGAAGCCATAGATCCTGGTCATCGCTGCGTCTTCGTGGTTGCTTCTGAGAAGCTTAAGGCTGTCCGGATACTGCATCTTGCGCAGAAGCAGAAGCGCTATGGTGTCAAGGCTCCTAGCAGGACAAGGGCTTGTTCCCTAGCACTGCAGACCCAAGGCTTCATGAACCGCTCTGGCATTTGCAATTGTACCAAAACAAGTTTGCCAAGCATTCCGGTGCCCGAATCCCGAGACAGATTCCAGGACTCCTCCTCCCCCTGTCGACATAGCCACCCAGGAACAAATACCGGCTGTCAGGCAGCTCACCGAATCGTTGAAAGAGGTTCAGGAGCTGATCGTAGTAGCCATGCATATTGCCCACAATAACCTTGAACGTGTTCAGTGGTTCAGCAAAACAAAAACACTTCCGAGATGCGAAGGTGTTCTACAGTGAACTTGTGGGTCTGTGAGGCTTTTCTTGAACATGTTCAAGCAGCCCAAGGGGGCTCAAGCTCCAGCAGCATTGGCTCTGCCAGAAAGATCTCCTTGCAGCGGCAGCACAGCAGGAGCAATTGGGAAGTGTACTCCTCTGGAACCTTGGCTTCTTCCGGCGATACTCTGAAGAATGCGGCTCGGCCCTTGGCACGTATGGGGTTTTATGGTACCGACAACGGAAATGAGAGCATGCTCAAGTACTCTCCAAACCACCTTGTCCGAAGAATACCTTCTCAAGAAGTAGTCCAGACAGCCATCAACATCCGGAAGCGCGTGGGTCATTGTCACAAGCACAGCTTCATCTGCAGTCCATCCCAGGCTGCTGCAAGTCTGCTTGTCCTCCAGCCTAGTGGAGATCTGTGGCCACCACTACACATGCCGAAACCTGGAAACAACTAAGAACAGAGGCCTCCCGAATGCGGACCAAGAAGCACTGCACTGCCGCTGGAGAGCACCTGCAAGTTTAGAAGCCCAGAGCCGTAAGAACCCTTACCTGAGCTTCGAAAGATCTAAGCCCAAGGCCCCCATGCGCCAGGAAGGATCAGGCGACAACCATTGTTAAACAAAAGAAACCAAAAAAACTAGACACCGAGTATCCC